TATTGCGGTTTTATTTAATATTATCTGTCTTTATTAAGACAAAAATTCGATTGTGATTTTTCTCTAAGGTAAATAATTATTTTATTTTAAATCGGTTTGGTATAAATTTCGTTGATTTATTTTTAGGTTAAATCATGCCGTTCACCTTAGAAGAAGACAAGTTTCAAAGTTTCTTCTCCAATCTTATCTTCGAAATGGAGTAAAAGATCAAAATGGGGTATGAAAATATTCAACAAGTCTTTGTGTAGAGGAATTTAGGGAGACATGCCTGGAAAATGTAGTGAATTACCTTATGTCATGACATTAGGAAAGTTGTCAAAGTGCTTTGTTACAAGAATTCATTGAATAATTACATGATGATGAATTGGAAGAAGGATTTTTTCAACATGACAATGCAACTGCACGAACAAACAAAAGATTCCTTCATGAATTTTATGATGATTGAGTAATCGGTAGAGGATGTTGGCCACCTCACTCACCCGATCTAACCCCACTAAATTTCTTTTTATTCGGTCATTTCAAAAATTCTGTCTACAAAAACCGTTTACAGACCATAGAAGAATTGGAAGATGCAATACGACACAATGTTCAACAAATAACTGCAGAGCAACTTGTACAGGTCTTCGATAATATGAAAAGAAGAATCACTTTATGTTTAGAAAAGAATGGTCAACATTTTGAATTCGTTTTATAATAAATAAAACTTCTAAACCTTTATTTTTATAATAAAATAAAAGATCTTTTTTTGATTTATGAAATAAATTAATTACAAAAGAATAGTTTAAAGGGTTTTCTTTTTATTAATTAATCCTTTTTAATTATTTTCATCATAATTTAAATTTACATCATCCAATCTAACTCCAGAGAGAATTTATTTCAAATTTTGTTTAACGAGAGTAACATTTTTAATTTTGTGCGTGTCAGTTTTTAAGGTTATGTTTACTAAACTAAAAGTTTCCTCCCATTTCCCCACCACTATTAAAATAAGTGGAAGGAGGGTGTGACTGCTGTGACGAGGGCAGTAAGTATTGGCATCAAGCGCTTGGGAAAGTAGTTTTTAGCGGACCGGCTTTCTTGATCGCATTGTATTATTATTATATCCGATCGACGAAGGTACCGGTCGACGAAACATAACTACAGAATAACCAGAAATGACATTGACGTCAATTCGTTTGATGTTAGTGGCACCTTGTTTTGTGACCTCGATTTAAAATCCGCAATCTTATCACGAGTTACCAAAAGCACTGAATCAAGGTCCGTTGAGTAAACATACTGTATAAGGTTATCCAACTCCCTATTAACGCTGTTGTTATGAACGTATCCGTCTTTAGAGACGTGCAATTCTAGTTCTAGGTATAGTGTTACTTTTAGTGATAGTTCTAGTGTAAAACAAGAACTGACACTATACTTAGAACTAGTCATTCGGGTTTAGCCGTCTTTAGAGACGTGCGGCTGAACCCAAATGATTCTAGGTCTAGTGTTAATTCTACACGGTAAAAAATGGATGTAAAAATACATTATACTACAATAAACTACAAGATTGACTTATGAAATAATACATGAATTAACAACGTAATTTTCGAAATCCAGTTAATACCAAGTAAAATTACAGGAAATTATTAAATTTACAAAATATTACATTTTTTTAATATGAATTACACAAAGCAATGTAAACTATAGGGAAAACCTGTAAATAAATGGAAAATCAAGTAAAACAATGTAAATGTATTTAATAAATTGGGAAATCATGTAATATTATTAAAAATTACTATTACTAACATGTAAAAAACGGGATGGCCCCACTACCACTTTCTGCGTTCAGTCGGCCGAATAGCGTTGCAACTACGCACAACGCGTTGACATCATTGTACCAAGTACAGTGTAATAACGTATGAATCGTCGAACGTTATACGCACTCTCTTATAATAATAATAATAAAAAACCACTTTAATCTGTCCATTTAGTGTTTGGTTGTTTGGTGCCCTTTAGTACGTATACAGGTTATACACAAAGCTTTTGTGTTCCAAGTTTGCCGTCTGTTAAAATTGTAAAAGTTTCCACTTTTTCCACTATTCTTTTAATGCTTTTGTACTGTAAAACATTATAACAATGGTGGAAAAACTATTGGCTTTCATAATTTGGACATAAAACGAATTTGGATATGTACAACTTCCATAATAACATTCGTATTTTTACATTTATGTAAGCTTAAAATTATGTAAATGTACAGGGCTGAACAATGAATTATTACATAGCAGACGAACTACAATATTCATAGGACAAGTAATTTTACATATAAATATAGTCATTTTCACGTGTTAATACGTGTACATTACCTGGGTTAAGAAGTAAAATTACATCAATCACAAACGAAAAGTACAAACATAGAAATGGAAAATGCGCTTGTTTAGATATGTATTTATTTTGCTATCACATACGTGTAACTTTTACATAAATATCCATGGCAATAAATTACCAGTACTGGACCATGTAATTATTTTTTACTGTGTAGTTTTAATTGTTATTAAGCGCTACATTGTTGTATATTTTTATTGAAGTAGTTGAAAGGTTAAATATACATATTAGAAAATTTACGTATATTAGATTATATAGTAGAACTAGAATCATTTCGGTTTAGCCGTCTTAAGAGACGTAAACCAGAAGTGACACTAGCGGTATCCCACCAAATCTTTACCACCAATAGCAACATACCTTGGTAACTCGCTATAATATGGCGTCAGATTTGGCGGAATACTGCCACTGTCACTTCTATTATAGTTATTCTGTGACATAATCTCAATAACAACTTTGTTTCCCGCTAATTCACATATTGCACATGTCCATGTCCGTTTTAAATAATTAACAATTTATGATAAAATTTTAATATGTTGAAGTGCGTTTCTATAATCTGACGTAAGTTTATACCTAAAATATAAATATGATTTATATTTTAACATGATTTGCTGGCAAGGTGGCTGAAATTAATAAACACGATTAACAAAATAAAACTTATTACCTTAGTAAATAAAGATTTATTACCGACTTTATCCAAGAAATTTTCACTGCTGTTTTCACTAGTGATGTTACGGATGTGAGTTTAGCGGATGCGGAACCGTATTTTTTAATTCAAATTTTACGGATGCGGATGCGGATTTAACGGATGCGGAGCTATTGAAAAAAGTTACGTACTAAAATTTTAATGAAAACAGTATTTCTACTGTAATTAGTAGTAATTAGTAATTATTTATTGTAACGGAGCTCCGTTAAAATATATGCGGATGCGGATCCTCAAAACAATGCGGATATCCGTTACATCACTAGTTTTCACACCGGTTATAAAACATATACATATGTAGTATCTATCCATATAAAAATGTAAGAAAGTTGTTGTTACGAAATCTATACCGGGTGTTCCTCAAAAGTGGCTCACCCCCATATTTTTTTTTATTATTGGTGATATAAGAAAACCATTTGGAATGCATAGTTAGGTCGCTAAAACGGATTATTACGACATGAAATCATTCTTTTTGTACTTCCGGTTATACCGGATGTAAGTACTAATTTCGCTATTTTTTTAAATCTATAATTTTTTTTTCTTCAGTTGGGTTGATAGTAGAATTTCACATAACATTTACTTGAAAAAATTTTCACGATCGCTTATAATTTTTGAAAAAAAATTATATTCTTTATTTTATAACGTTTTAGTACCTTCGGAAAATGTATTACAACTTTTGACGCATAATAGCTAGGTTAATAGTATAAACTACGTTATGTCCCTCTTGATTTGCTATTTCTCGAGCAGTGATCACTGCTATGCTTTAGTCAGTGGTTCTTTTTTAATAATGGTGTAAATTAACAGTTGTATTAAATTAGTTTTAAAAGAAAAACGCGATCAAACAATTAAGTTTAATACAATTATTTTTGATTTTTTATTTTTTTCTTTATTTTTTGTTCTTTTACACTAAATGTTCTGTAGCTGATAGTAACTTACAATGTCCATTGTACATTATAATTTGGATTGTTTACTTTATTTTGGTTAAAACCTCCCAGATCACCTGACTTCACACCTTTAGATTCTTTTTATGGGGCAAAATCAAAAATGAGCTGTATAATACACCAGTAAGGTCTCGTGAGGTATTAGAAAATAAATCGAGTTAGAAATTGTATTACCCAATTATCTCCGCAGAAATAACGTCGAGTCGTTAGATCGACAATACGCAAGATACAATTATGTCAAAATCGAGGCTTGAGCATTTTGAAAATTTAGAAAATTAGTTTTTTTGAACTTACAATTGAATTAAATTTAATTGTTGGATAGCGTTTTTCTTTTAAAACTAATTTAATACAACTATTAATTTACACCATTATTAAAAAAGAACCACTCACTAAAGCATAGCAGTGATCACTGCTCGAGGAATAGCAAATCAAGAGGGACATAACGTAGTTTGTACTATTAACCTAGCTACTATGCGTCAAAAGTTGTAATACATTTTCCGAAGGTACTAAAACGTTAAAAAATAACGAAAATAATTTTTTTTTTCGTGAAAATTTTTTCAAGTAAAAGTTATGTGAAATTATACTGTCTACCCAACTGAAGAAAAAAAAATTATAGATTTAAAAAAATAGCGAAATTAGTACTCACATCCCGTCTAACCGGAAGTACAAAAAGAATGATTTCATGTCGTAATAATCCGTTTTAGCGACCTAACTATGCATTCCAAATGGTTTTCTTATATCACCAATAATAAAGAAAAATATGGGGGTGAGCCACTTTTGAGGGACACCCGGTATAGGATCTTTTAAGATTTTTTGCTTACATTAATGATAATTAAGAACGTATGGAGTTATTTTTTTTGTGGATGACCTTGTTATTAAACAGATTCAAAACTTACTGATTGACTATACATGAGATGTTACAAAAGCAATACTCTTTCTATAGATTAATACACTTCTATTTTAAATTGCAAATGATTGAATAACATCGATTATTTTATGTTATTTTAATAAAGATTTAACTTTTTAGAAATTTCGCCAGTAGGTACCACCAACATTTCGGAGATCTAAATTATGAAATGAAGAGAAAATATTTATTTATTAATTTGAGACATTGAAATTTATTTTCAAAATTATTTACTTACATTGACACGCGGAGGCGTAGAAAGTAAATAAGTGATTGTGTCAGCAATATCTTCGGAAAAAATGAAAGGAAGATTTTCATAAACCGCGTTACTTATGTTTATTCCAAATGCTGTTTCAAAAATATCAGTTTTAACTAAACCTGGAGCCAAATTCTAGATGTAAAGAAGTTAGAAATATTTTAAACAATAAATAATTAAACCTACCGTAATTCTAATATTACTTCCTATTTTAGCTAATTCCAAACGGATATTTTCCGTCATAACTCTTAATGCATATTTAGAAGATGTGTACATAGTCAAACTAGGTTCTTGAATATCGTAATAACCAAGAACACTGTTTATATTGATAATGTAACCGTCAATTAGGTGTTCTCTCATGATTTTTACAGCTGCTTTACATCCTATGGCTATACTCATAAAGTTGGTGTCCATAATTTGTTTCCAATCTTCCAAATTTCCCGTTAAAATCGGTGCGTCTTTAGAAATACCTGCATTATTAATCAAAACGTGAATTGGTCCTACGTTTTTGGTGACCCAATCGAAACCATCTAGAATTTCTTGGGGTTTTGTTAAATCGACGCATCGAGCAAATACTTTTCCGTTGTGATTTTTAACCAAATTTTCAATTAATTCTTTTCTTCGAGCAAAACCAACCACCTATAAACATTTTATTCAAATTAAACAATTTTGTTGACATTTTACTATTCATTTTATTTAAAGAAACCTTCATTCCATGTTTTAATAACGCTTTAACAGTTGCTGCACCAATTCCGGCACTTGCACCAGTTATAATCGCAACTTTATCTTCTAAATTCATGTTGTTTGTAATTTTAATTTTAAATTTTGCACGACCAAATTTGATGTGTCGATCTTTTGGGATCTGCATAGAAACTGTGTAGATTTCTTGTTTATGTTAATTATAAGTAGGAATGTGTGGATTCATTTTTTTAGTGGGTGACCTTGCTTAATATACTGCCTTTAATATTCAAAATTTATTTATAACTTCAATATAACAATATACCGATCACTAATTTAAATTGGAAATTACACCAATAACCCTGATTAATTGAATTTTATTTTAACAAATAGTTATTTGAGGATATCTTTGTACCAATTTCCCCGATAGGTCTCACCAACATTTCGGAGATCTAAAATCTCATCAAATAAATCGTTTTGTCTGTTTTGGAGGTTTAGAAATTTAATAATTTACTTACATTTATACGTGGAGGTGCAGAAAGTAAATAAACGATTGTGTCAGCAACATCTTCGGCAAAAATAAATGGAAGATTCTTATACACCGCGTTACTTAAATCTTTTCCATACCCACTTTCCACAATATCAGTTTTAACTAAACCAGGAGCCAAATTCTAAAGAAGATTTAAGGAAATTAGAAATATTTGGATGAATAAAAAATAAACTTACTGTAATTCTAATATTACTTCCTATTTCAGCTAATTCCAAACGGATATTTTCCGTCATAACTCTTGAAGCGTATTTGGAAGATGTGTACATAATCGAATTAGGATCGAGACAATCGTAATAACCATGTATGCTGTTTATATTGATAATATAACCATCAATTTTGTGTTCCCTCATAACTTTTATAGCTTCTTTACATCCAATTGCTATGCTCATAAAATTTGTGTCCATAATTTGTTTCCAATCCTCTAAATTTCCCGATAAAATCGACGCATATCTAGAAATGCCTGCGTTGTTAATCAAAACGTGAATTGGTCCAACGTTTTTGGTAACCCAATCGAAACCATTTAGAATTTCTTGGGATTTTGTTACATCGACGCATCGAGCAAATAATTTTCCTTTATGATTTTCAACCAAGTTTTCAATTAATTCCTTTCTCCTAGCAAAACCAACGACCTATAAATATTTTATTTAAAACTTAAAAATTTTACAAAAATTTAATTGTTGCTGCTATTTGAAGAAACCTTCATTCCAATATTTAATAATGTTTTAACTGTTGCTGCCCCAATTCCGGTACTTGCACCGGTTACAACCGCAACTTTCTCCTTCAAATCCATTTAATAGAAATTATTATTTAAAACTGAACGATAAGAAGGTAGAATATTTCATGTTAAAGTGCATCATTACAGCTGGGTGGTATTTTAATGGTAGATAATGGAATTTTAACCTTGAAATATTACACGTATTATTGTTTGATTACTGATTTATTTCTCTTTTTGCGTTGTTTGAATATGAACAGCTAAAACAATATTACTAGAAACGTTAATCATATACATACACCCATAAAAAAGTGACGTAAATACAATAATATTTTTTGTTATGACAATGAAAATTATCATCAAAATCTGTCTGTTGAACAAATTATTGACGCAATAAATATTTGTACATTACATGATACTTGGTTTATTGACCAACGGAAAGTTTATTGTATCTATCCTATCCAACCTTACATTGATTTCCTTAGACAAATTTTATTGAACCAATTAAATCATACATTCTAACTATATACAAGTTTATTGTGCTAACGAATCTTCTTTATGGTATCAATTAACAATGTTTATTGAGGCAACGAACTTTATTTTTAAAATATACAGGGTAAGTCAGAATGAATGGGAAATCCGAATACCGGAGACACTAGACACCAAAATATGACGATTTAACCTAACATCTCTTATACAAATGTCGGTGGTTTTCAAGGCTTATTTCGAAATTTCTTGATAATTTTGAAGCTTTTTGTACTATTTGTTTTGTGATTACTCGTAGAGGGCGCTAGATACACATTGCACGTTTGAGATATCAAGTCATGACTATTTTGTCAGTTGAGGTATGGTGAATTAGAACCAGAAATCTGAAGGAGCTTTCAATTCTACACAAAAAAGGTAGTCTTGCTTACATTGTCTAAGTCTACCGGTTTCCAAGTTATCTGCTTTTAATTGTTTCAAAGTAATTTTAAGGTTAACATTTAAAATCAATAACACACAGTAACAATAGCAATTAGTAACGATAATAATCGATAACAATAACAATTAATTAATAACAACAGAATATTGTGACTATATTCAAAAATCCAGTGGATTTAAATCTGGATTTCTAACTATTAGAAAACTTATTACGTCGTGGCATTTTCAAATTGGTAATAACTTTATTGTTGGTAAAAATGATTATTGCACACAGAAATTAGATCAATGTTGACAATTAACAAGCAATTGTCGAAACATGAACGGAAAAATAAGCCAACTTTGCTTGCAACTTTGCCCACTTTGCAAAAATTTTAGAAGAAAAAATAGTCTATACCTGGAAAAAACATTTGACTTCTTTAGAGAAAATAATTTCTTACATATAAAAAAAGATCCTCTACCTGATTTCATAAAACAATTTAAAGACACATTAAAAAGGACTCAACCTACATTCGAAAAATTCAATTTTCACATTACCAAACTGAACAACATGAACCCATTACACCCTACGTTATACAGTTAAATTAAGCTCCACAAACCACAAAAAAACTATAAGACCCATTGTCAGCGGAATACATTCACCTTGCAACAAGATGGCTAAAGCTATCCACCACATCTTAACCAAGGCGTTACACTTCCAATCACCTTATTCAAGAAGAAATTCAACAGAATTGATCACTAGACTTAAAAATATTGAAATTAATCATAATTCTATTTTAGTCTCGTTTCACATAAAAAACTTATATGCTAACATCCCTGTAGCAGATACATTGAATATAATTGAAAACTTCCTTTTACATAACATCAGTCACTCTAATAATTTAAATTTTCTCGATGTGTCGAACCTAATTTTCGATGAGAAATGTTATTGTATGCCAGACGGTTTACCTATGGGTTCACCACTATCTGGTCTCCTAGCTGAATTCTATGTTGACCATCTAGAAAAAGTTATACTTAAACAGAAAGAACACCATTTCTCAACAAAACATATACAATTTTATGCTAGATACGTGGACGACATCCTGATTGTATTTGATGGTTCAAAGGCCAATTTGATTGCCCTACTAAACCTATTCAACAATGTAGGAGATATTAAATTTACAATTGAAAGAGAAAATAATGGCCAAATTAACGTCCTCGATCTAAACATCTCAAGGGATTCTATTAATAAATGTCTTAATTACAAAATTTATAGAAAACCTACTTCCACAGATGCAATAATTCCTAGAAAATCTTTCTGTCCGTTTAAATACAAATATGCTTCCTTCAATTTCGTATTTCTCAGAGCCTTAAAAACTCCTATGAATACAAAAGATTTCAATAATGAAATTCTCACCATTATAAATATCGGTTTAAATAACGGTTTCAAATTGGAAGACTTACAACGAACCATTTATAAAATCCATAACAATTTAATCACTTCCAAACTTTATCCTCATCGAACAGCTCCAAACAAGTTCATTTCTATCTCTAAATACAATCCTATAGTTAATTCACTACAGAGAGTCGTGTCCACCTATAATTTTACCATTACTTCTAAAAACAACAACAAAATTTCTAACTATCTAGTTAATTGTAAACATAAATTCGAGAAACTACAACTTAATGCGTAATGCTTAATGCGTAATGAAACGTAATGCCGCATACGTTGGACAAACGGGCAGAAATTTAAAAGTAAGATTTAGAGAACATCTAAAAAACGACAATTCCGCAGTTTTTAGACATTTAAGGGACAACGACCATCAAACAGACAGCGAAAATATCCTACTCCTTCATAACTACCCTAAATCCAAAAAACTAGATCTTTTAGAAGAAATGGAAATTGTTAAATTGAAAAATGAACGAAATTACATGACACTAAATGAAATTACCGACGTCCCTCACACTCGAATGTTTCTAAATTTCGTAAAAGGACCAGTTTTGCCATGAGTTTTCATATTCAGTACGTACAACTGTTATAAATACCGGTTGTTATTAAAATTTGACATCGACCCGACCACGTTTTCTCTTATCATGTATGTAGTGATTTTATCGTTCTTTGATTTTGATTGTTAACCTATACTAGGATAGATGTGTGTTTATATGTATATAATCTTAAAATAAATGGAGCGTTTTTTAATTCTGTCCATCGTTCGTTATAGACGGTAAGAATTTAACTGTTGTGTTTTCTGACGTCATATTGTATTTCGATTTGTTCTGTTTTTTAATTGCGCCTGAAGACGAAAAGTAATTTTTTCGAAACCGGTTGCGTAGATAAACAAATTAATAAATTCTTCACACATTCTTTTGTGTCTCATTAATTAACTAAATTTTCCGAAGAATTAGGGAGAAATACATTCCTTTTATTTAAAATTAAATAATTCGAAAACTGATAGACTTAGACAATTTAAATAAGAGTACCTTTTTTATGTAAAATTGAATGCTCTTTGTTATTTGTAGCTCTTATTGGTCGTAGCTCCACAGCCAAAAAACTTATGATTTGATTTATCGAACGAGCAGTGTGTATAAAGCGCCCTCTACGAGCAATAACAAAACAAGTTTCAAATTCGTATTTCTCATGCTTGAAAACATAAAACTACCAAATTTTATACTAGTATCTCCGGTATTCGGATTTCCCATTCTTTCTGACTCACCCTGTATAAATAATTGTACGGTAGGCAATGAAATAATTTATTGTCGTAACATAAGCGTAACTTTGTTTATATGTAATTTTTGCTGCAAATAATCATCTAATTGTTGGGCACATTTGCCAATGTATAAGAACGATTCTTGAGAATCTTTAATAAATAGTAAACTTTGTCGTGACAGTCTTTCTATTTAGATCCTGCAGTAGATGTTGGGTGGGTACAAAATATCTGTGAAAAGCCCACAAAGTTGCTGCATCATTACCTAGAGTTATAATAATAACTTCAATTAATTTGTGAAGAAATGGATGACTAAAGTAAGTATGTGCCTACAACCAACAATAATATACAACGTAATACAAGAAAATATACTGAACACCCTACCAGGTTTTATGACATCTCAGCAACTGTTTAATCTCAATTAAACAATATTTTTTATTCAATTTTTCTTTTAATTTTTTACTTTTTTTAATAAGGTCAAGGTTATGCGACCTAAATTAATTACTTTTTCCGTCGACTGTGTATTTATATGATTTATAAATGTATACAAAATCATTCATTAATGACACCTATTAATAAATGATTTTCTATTAATAAACGATTTTAAGAAAGTCCGACCGAACTAATATAGTAGTCAATTTTTCTCCAATCAAATCGGTAATACCGACCCAACCGACCACTCTATTCGGTAAGACTACAATATTAAGTTTTGACTTTTGACACATTAAGAGTGCGGTTTTTATTTTGCCAGTGATAGAATTGGGAGATTTTTCAACGATGGATTTTCTCTATTTTGTTGAAAGGACAGTCAACGGAAAAATATTGTAACTAACTCGTATATTAAAATGCGATTAATTATCTCAATAATTAACATTTAAAATATCGTTAAAATATCTCGATAATTAATCGCCTTCATTAATAGACTTGTTGGTTAAATAACTATAAAAAACTTGATTATTGTTATATTAACATGTAAGCATTTGTATATAAAATAAACCCAAATTTTGTATTAATAAAATAGTATTATTGATATCTCCGTAATACTCATTTCCTTCCTGGATTAAATGTCAAAAAATAACCGGTTGTTCAGTTAAAAACCGATCCAAAATTTGTTATACCATTTCGTAACTGGCTACAACGTCATGTTTTTGTTGTTTGATCATTAAATTTGGAGTGTTTTTTGGATTAAGATATGATTTAACAGTGGTATTTTCATTATCAGTAGTTGAGGTGTATGCCGCACTGCGCGAGCATGCTGTTGATGATGTACTTGGACTTGGTGAACCTATACCTATATCGAAACCATGAAGAAGTTTTTCTATGTAGTGTCTTTTGACAACCTATAACAGTACATGTTTGAAAAGTTGCGAGAAGAAAGGATAACACAACGAACTGGTCCAATTCCAGATTCGTCGAATTCACTCGGTGTTTTTTTAAATCTTTTAATTGTTGGAATAACGTACTTATTCATTGATTAAATAATTCGAGTTTTAATATTACGAATTATTGTT